ACATGATTATGTGAGGGAGATGTCACATGATAATGTGAGGGAGATGTCACATGATTACATGAGGGAGATGTCACATGATTATGTGAGGGAGATGTCACATGATAATGTGAGGGAGATGTCACATGATTACGTGAGGGAAATGTCACATGATTACGTGAGGGAAATGTCACATGATTACGTGAGGGAAATGTCACATGATTATGTGAGGGCAATGTCACATGATTATGTGAGGGCAATGTTCCATGATAACGCATTTAAAATGTCACATAAATACATGAGGGAGAATTCGCATGACAACACGTGGGAGATATCACATGACTACATGCAGGAAATGAAACATGACTACATGCATAAGATGTCACGCGAGTATGACACTGTGTCTCAGTTTTGTCTGTACCTGCATGAAGTTTCAGACCCTAAATCGCTCTCAGATGGGCATCACTGACCACACTGCACCCTCTGCCGCAGTGTGCCCATTAATCCGGGCGCAGATCCGGGTGGCGTGAGCCTGCTGTTTGATGGACTGCCCCGGCCCTTGGGTCTCCCGTCATTGTCAGGAAGAGTAACGACCCTGTGTGGCTTTAATCACACCCCAGACGGCCCCCTCACCGGCCTCAGTGCGCTGCTGCTTCTCGATCTTCTCCAGCCGGCCCAGCAGCGAGTCGATCTTCGTTTTGATCTGTGTCAGCTCCCGCTTGATGGTCTGCAGCTGGTCGCTCTTCACTGTAAAAAGACATAGGGGGTTATCACTCATTGGTCACCCTCCCCCCCCTTCCAGAATCAGCCCCTGCCTCACACTCCCCACCATTAAAAAGGAAAAGCTGACAGATACATCAACAGTCCTTCCAGCAATTAACTTTTTTTTCTATATATCCGCGTCAACACGGAATCCATTCGCTCTGGAGGCGCACATTGCAATTTACCCGTCGGCAGGACTTCCTCTAAAAATGCTCGGTCCCGCTGCTTTCAATTTCCAGATTTAATAACGCGGCGCTGACCCCACTGTTTGGCAACGGCGCCAGACCGGCCGACAGGATGGCGTGGAGTCACTACCGTGGACTGCCGGCAGGCAACTGACAGCAAGTCATCCAGATGGTTTTTGGAGTTACACCTTTTCAGGAGCGCCAGGCCGGCCCAAAATCGGGAATGATCACTTCAGCAATCCGTTCACATGGCAGCCCCTGACCGCATCCCGTTATTTCAATTGAAAGTTCCCCGTTTTTCCAGAGGCAAATGTTAATATAGCAGAAGGAGCCCGAGACTGGGCCACACTGGCACGGGAGACAGGAGACCGGCCGATCAGAGGCCCTCCGTGACCACGGGCCAGGCTTCCTGTTTACTCTGGCACGTCCCTGACATTTTGAGCCATTCGAAGCGGAGCCTTTCAAAGCTGCTCTGCGCGGCTGCCTCGAGGTCATGAAGCTGTCACTTTCTCCCAGGAAGCTGCTTTCATAGCATAATACCACCGCATGCACCTCCCGAAAAACCATACCACTGGATATCGAAAACAAAAAGCCAGTACAGACCCTCCCCCCCTCGGTGATGCCCAAGCTGAATTAAGTGAAATTCCATTTGCCAGGCGCCGTGCCGGTTTTGCGTGTTTGTCCCGTGTGTCTTGGTGTCCAGAAACACGCACATGATATTCTGGCATCGGTTCCTGTCCTTCGGGGTGACCAGAGATAAGGAGCGAAGGGCGGACACTAGTTTATCGGCACTGCAGGGTCTCGCGACTGCGTTCCCATTCCCAGTGGTGACTCCGGAAGGGACGCGGATAAGAGAGTAATCCCGGAATATCCCCGCTGGCCTGGAAAGCCTGACCCCAAAGTCTACATGAAAATGGTGTTTGCCTGAGATAGACGGAATGCTCCTGATCACTGGGGGCACGGAGTCCCCCCCGGGAGACCCTGCTCACAGTCCACGATGACCATAGGTAAAGGTGCTCGGCTGCCTTACATTTCGGTCCAGTGGAAGAGGAGGAGCCGCACGTAGTTGGTCTGGAGGAGGAAGAGGAGGAGGACGACGAGGTCTTGAGCGGGAAGGAGGATTTCCCCCGGCGTGTGGATGGGACCACCACCCGCGAGCGCTTGATAGGGATCACGGCCCTTGGGGGGGGGGCCACTCTGCTGTGATAGTCAAAGAGCCTGTTGGGGGGGGGGGGAGCTAAATTATAAACTAAGACAGTTTCACGAACAGTCTGGGGTAACAACGGTCTGAGTTAAAAAGTGAATTAAAAATTTAGCTGTGAGTTAACGACAGTCTAAGTTAACAACAGTCTAAGTTAACTATCTAAGTGAACAACAGGCAAACATAACGGTAAAAGGCACCATTAGAAGCAGACTCATTTCACTGGCATTAAGTCTGCCGTTTGAGTTAAGCTCTGATTTGGGAGTCACACAGCCCATCTGCTTCCCAGTGAGTTTCCTCGTTAAAGAGCTGTAACCAGCTTCCAGTCCCCCAGAGCAGAGCGAGCAGAGAGCTTCAGCCCTGGTAAGTGCAGGGGCGTGATAAACCTCTGAAAGCAGTGAGCTGCATGACTAAGGGCGCTCCTACTCCCCATTAATCTAAGGCTTTTCATTTAAGGCCACCAACATCCAGCTTTTCTTATAAATGTTTCTTTTTTTTGTTTAGAATATCCTCCTCCTTTCATGAGCGTGGTTGCTACAGCAAATTAAGTGTCAGACAAGCCAAATGTCAGGAAAGTTATGCAACGAGAATTCAGATTAGTTTGTTAGAACAGCTGGCAGTGAAATCTTCACAGAACTGTGTATAATGGCCTCCCAACCCCCAGGGGGCGGCCTCACGTTATTCAGCCCACTGGAGTATCAGCTCCTTTCTTTGAAGCTTAAAGAAAGGTCAGCCTCGCAGGGTTTGACCGCTCTGACATTCCATCAGAATCTCGAGAAATTGAGAGAAGGCGCACAGTATCTGTGTTTTAGGGGCTCTGCCCTTACTGCTGAGTCCAGGTATGTTTCACAGTTGAATCACTGAGAAAAACACCGCCAGGCTTTTGGAAATGCTCTCCTTACTTTACTTTATTCCCAGGTGATTTTCAGACCAAAACACTAAAATTACTTTCAGCCATATTGTTTCCTCTGAGGAACACAAGAGTTTCTGTAATTATACAGACCTGTGAACCTATGAACTGGACATTTATCCCTGGGGTCTGCATAAAGAAACAAGGTTTCTCGTTTAGAGGCATAACTTGTCAGATTTAAGGTAGTCTGGGCTAAATGTAAGTGAACAAAGATAATGTCCATTTACACCGGGGTACCTTAAATCCGTTATCTGTCTAAGCAAGAAATATGGCTTCATAATACAGGACCCTGGAGATTAAAATAAACTCTGACTGCAACGTATGTGATGGATGAAGACCTGAACTAAGGACTTTGAGTAAAATGACACAAAAACACAAAATCATACGTAATATTTCACTCGCTAATGTATGTGGGATGTATGCTTGATAAATGTTGTCTGTATTGCACCTGTGTCAATTTCCCGTATTGCGCTATTTAAACTCCCACAAACCTCTGTATCACACACCGTGCATTACTGCCTCTCTGTTGTGTATCTCGTGTCATGTTATGCCCTAATTTTTCGTTGTCTATTGTCATGCCGTCTGTATCAGTAGTGAACTGTGCCAACACTAATTTCCACTGGCGCTGGTCGTGTGGGAATAACAAATCTGATTCTGATGAGATCAAAGACATGACTAGATGCGATCTGGCTGGACGCCGTATGTGTGAGAGTCTGACGTGGGTGACGGGAGATTATGCGGGGGGGGTCTCCATAAAGCACTGAGATCTATAGTGCCCAAAGGGCCTGACTGACCTGCATTTTTCATTCAGTCTTTGTTGATAGGCTCATGTCAGTCAAAGCAGAATAAAGGCAAAAACATGTCACTGGCTAAAGGGAATTTGTAACGAGAGGGGGTGGATAAAAGGGGCCGGGACTGAAAGAGGCTTTTGGGGGGGATTGTTTCTGAAATAATGTGTCTTTTTTTTTCAATCCATAGAATCCTCCCACCTCTGAAACCCAGCCAGAAATGCAGGGGACATGGAGACCGAGATGGGTAGGGGGGGTGGGGGGCGGGGGTAGCTTACCGGCTGTAGAAGTCGTCTCTGTAGTAATCGTAGTCAAACTCGTAACCGCTGTGGACAGAAGCAAAGACAGGAGGCGGCAGTGAGAGAAACGTGTCTGAATTGCCCATCACCAGCAGCCGTAGCCAGGGACCATAGTGGTAGCTCACGGAATTACAGCAAGAGAAAAGAGAAACTGATATTACAGAAACAGAACAGATAAAGCCTGCTAATATTTATTTCGCAGATGCCTATTTTTTGTTGAGGAAACAGTATGAGACAGTCCTAGGTGTAACTAGGGTTAAAAGCCTTGGTCAAGGGCCCAATGGTGACATCATTCTGCTGAGCCTGGGATTTAAACCTGTGACCTTCTGATCATAAGCAGGCCATCCTAACCCAGGGCCTCACACCACTTCCCACCACTGACCACACTGTTTTCAATTTAGCGTTTAGTTGTTGTTAAACAGATTGACTGACAGTGTCGTGATCAGTGCCTGAGTGTGTGATGATATTTTAAATAAAACACCCTACAATGTCTGATGAACCCCCCTGCTACACTTCCAAGCTTTAACGTCTGGCTCCAAACTCCCTGACACTCTGCGGCCAGGAACCCAGGATGCCATTGGTCAGCCAGCATCACTCTGGCGTCGATGGCGCCGCCCCCTGTGGACCACCGGCTCGTTACAGAGTGCCCCTCACTCACGAGCGCGCAGGCCGTTCTCTGTAAACGTCTCATTAATTCATTAGAGCTCATGTGCCCCATTAGTCTGTAGGTAACTGGCCATGTAATGCTCCTATACCAGCTGCATACTGATTGCAGAGTTTCCACATGGGTTGCCTGGGTATTATTTAATAGGTGGGTGAAGCTACAGATAAAGGGTTTCATTGGCTGCAATGAAAAGCACATCTATGGCTTATGGTCACCGTGACAACGCCTCCGTCTGAGGGTTAGTTTTTTTTGTGACGGAATCACATACAAGCCAATCAGAACCTGGGATGGTACTTAGATGTGTGATATTTAAATGCCGGTTCATGAAGTCTTTCCTGCTTCCCTCAGGCATGTTGAGGCCCGATTGCTCAACTAATCCCAGCAGTGGATTATTCCTGATAACAAAGTCACAGAATGTTCCGTAGCCTTCAATTGCGCTGACCGTTTAATTTGTGGTACCACATGAAAAACAAACTCGAGCATCTTATATAAAAGAAAAAGATTGTGTAAAGCATTCAGGGAGGGTGAGGGTGTGTGTTTTAAGGCTTCTTAAAATAATCCTGATGAGTGGACAGAGAGGCCCTCTATGGAACAGCGACGAGTTTGTCGATAACCTTATCAGACAGGTGGAACAGAGTCCATTAACATAAACCTCTGGTTCTCATGCAGCAGGAGGGTGTGGTCGAATCTGGCCAAGCAATTTAAAACAGGAGAGGTACAGTATTGACCTTGAATATAACGTCATGTGTTTGTGTCTTTACATTATGTTCGTTTTGTGTTTCGTGTCTTTCTGCATCATGCTCATTCCATGTTTCGTGTCCTTCTGCATTGTACAAAATTCATGTTTTGTATCATTCTGCACTGTTTTGTGCCTTGCGTCTTTCTGCATGGTGTCTGTTTTGTGTTTTGAGTCATCCTGCATTGAGTCATTCTGCATGTCCTTCAGCACTACACTAGTTTCATGTTTTGTGTCTTTCTGCATTATGTTTGTTTCGTGTTGTATGTCTTCCTGCATCATGTTTGTTTCATCTATCATGTTTTCATCTATCATGTTTTTATGTTTGTTTCCTGCCTTCTTGCATTATGTTCATTTTGTGTTCTGTGTCTCCCTGTATTTTGTTCATTTTGTGTTCCCGTCATTGCTGAGCCATTCAGACCTTACCTGTAGACAGCTGATAAGGGTCGCTTGGACCCAGCTTTCGGTCTGTACGGTTTGGGCTCCCCGGCCATGTTGATATCTGCAGCAGAAACACA